AACCTGTAACTATCTAGGATGTCCAGCCTGACTCTTTCGTGAGATCTCTGGGTATAATTACCTTTTACATTCACAACTGATTGTGACCTATGACTTTTATATTTTAGAAAATGATTGTGACTGTACAAAATGATTGTGACACTGGAGCTTTCCATTACAGGACTGAATTCCATTTTTACACCATTTGGGGGTTTGGTTTTCTGTCACTTGCAACCAAAAGGGTCTGGACAAAGCATCCCGATTTTTGCATTGTATTTTAATCATGTATGGTCACAGAGAGAACCCCAGGGAGAGGAGACTGCCTCGGGCTCTTTCCCAGCTATTGTGAGGAGACAGGACTCCTCATTTCTTCCCAGTGTATTCAGATCATCAGAGTTTGGGAAACACCACTTAGCAGAGTCCAATCGGAAGAGTGAAGGGCACCGTGCTGCTTCCAATCAGCTGGGGGATCCTGGGGGAGGGTGACCAGCTGCCCGTGCCTGGCTGAGAGCCCGCGTTCCGGAGAAGAGAGCAGCGGAGTTAACACCTGCCGCCGGCACACGAGCAGTGGAACAGCACAAGCATAGCAGGCTCCGCACGTGCTCCCGCCACCTTCCCACGCACAGGGGTTGCCAATGAGCTGTGTATTTTGTTACCAACAGGCAGAATAAACTGCAGAAGGCCTCCTGCACTCAGCAGGTGTGAGTGAAGTCTGGGAGAGTGAAATCGCCTGTCTGTGGAGTCCCGCCCAGGGCTAAGACACCAGGGCGTTTTCATCTGCTGACACATCAGCACACAGGCGCCTCAGGCAGGCAGGGAGCTCTTTGCGCTGGCTGAGCACACAGGACTTCTGAGCCGTGACTGGCGGGGACCTGAGCACACCGTCTTAGCCTCGCTCTCCAGGTCAGTGCTTGTCAAACTACCTGGGGCGAAGTCCAGTTTTTTTGTTTCTAATACCAATCCATCGAGGACCTGTAAACTACACAATACAATTAATTATGTTAGAAATTTTTAAAAAGCAAAAAATACAAAATGCAAGCTCAATTTTTTTTATCAGATTCAAAAGATAAAAACTACGCTGCCAAACTGCTATTAACTTTCTAAATGCCTCGTTGTTTCTGTACTTAGCTCACGTGGACAGGTAACAGCCTCGCACTGCTCCGGCCCCCACTGTGATGAGCACTGCTGGGGGAGAGCACTCTGGCTTTGTTTTCAAGTTTTCAGACCACTTCCTACTTACAACACTTCATGTCTATAAATTAAGTAAAACTTATCAGCTTGACATTTAAGAGTGTCTACCACAGAGTCCTAAACTACCGTTCCCTTCATTTGTTCCCTCACACGTTCTTTCAGTTGATCACTCGATCCATCCAATACTGATGAGTGCCCACTATATGCCATGCCCAGGCCAGTGGTGCACAGCACGGGCAAAGCCCATGGTTCAGTGGTCTCCCCACACACCTGCATCCGACTCAAAGCATCTCCCAAATATGTGCTTAGCTCTGCTAACTCTGCACCTTAGTCACTCACCGCGTGTCTGAATCCCAGACATTTTTCATAGCTCTGTTCAAATGCCAGCTACTCCATCAATGACAGCAGTTATCATTAATCTGGCCTCTGCCATCGTCCAGGTATCTGCTAGGCACCTTACATACAGTATTCCTAATTTCTCAACAACCCTGCAGGGTAAGTTTTACCATCCCTCCTGACACCAGGGATCCTTCCACCAAACAACATGGTTCTCTGGAAAGTTTCCTGATTGCACAATTAGATACAATTTCTTTCTCTTCTAAAGCCAATCTCTGCACCTCTTTTTACAAACTTTACTGAAGTAAGACATTTAGAAAAGTATGCGAATTTGTACAGCTCAATGAAGTATTCAAAACTCAGATCTTCCCCGGCTTACAATGGGGTTACATCCTGATAAACCCACATAAGCTGAAAATATCTTAAGTTGAAAACGCATTTAATGCACCTAACTTACTGAACGTCATAGCTTAGGCTAGCCGACCTTAAACATGCTCAGAACACTCACATTAGCCTGCAGTTGGGCAAAATCATCTAACATAGAGCCTATACTAAATAAAGTGTTGACTATCATATAATTTATTGAATGCTGTACTGAAAGTGAAAAACAATGGTTGTATAGGTACAGAATGGTTGTTAGTGTATCAGTTGTTTACCCGAGTGACCGCATGGCTGACTGGGAGCTGCAGCTCGCTGCCACTGCCCGGCATCATGAAAGAGTATGGTCCTGCATATTTCTAGTCCAGGAGAAGATCAAGATTCAAAATTCGAAGTATGATTTCTACTGAATGCGTAGAATTCAACTACAATTCCACACCATTGTCAAGTTGAGAAATTTAAGTCAAACCATCATAAGTGGGGGACAGTCTGTACACCTATGTAACCTGCACCCAGATAAAAAAAATACAACATATCGGCTCCTTGAAGAAAAATAAGGTCTGGGGGGAAAAAAGGATGAAGTGAATGTAATGGCCCAAATACATTCCACATCTTATCAACAGAGTAATTAAGAGTGGTTTTTCAGGAACTGAGACCCCTTGTCCAGTTCAGGCCAGTTGAGACCATGAAGCCATCAACTGGGCCTGTGCAAGTGCTCGACAAATGACCTTTTTGATGTCAAGGAGCTAAAAACTCCACCCTCAGATCTTGGTAACGCCACCATTTTGTGAACATGCGTTCTATGAAGAGCCATGAAGCTTGACTATGCTTGCGCAGATTATCACATCAATTACCTCACTCCTTATCTCCAATCATCCAACTCCACACTTCAGACTGCCCTGCCCTTCATCCCATAAATTGTGCCCCAAGCCCTGGATCAGGAGACAGATCTGAGGGCACACCCCTTCCCAACACCCTCCTCCCGCCCCCTGTCTCCCTGCACATTGATCTAGCAATAAAGCTGTTTTCTTTTCCCAAAAGCTGATGCCATAATTAATTGGCTTTTTTATGCACATCAAGTAGGAGAACCCCATTTTTGTGCAGTAACACTAACAGCCAATACAAAGAGGGAAACAAGTTACTCAAATAAATGTTCACAGGATAAATGTACCAACTATTCAGCAGTGTGACTATTTCTGGTTTTGAGATTTAAAAAATGTCAACTCGAGTCTTCCTAAAGAGGATATTGTTTGACATTGAAGGATCCAACAATTTCATTTTAGTAATAACAATAAGAACTTTTGTCAGTTTATCCCCTCCCCTTATAATCTCCTTCAATATGGACAGGCCAAAGCACAGTTCACTACAAGCAACTCTTTGAGGGAACTAATGCAACCAGATAACAATTCTCAAAAGGTCTGACTAAATTCAAAAAAAAAAAAAAAATAGACTCAAAGTGTGGTCCAGGTACCTCCAGGGGTCTCTCAGAACTTTTCAGGGGGTCTGCATGGTCAAAACTATTTTTACAATACCTTAAAGTTTTGTTGCCTTTTTTACTCTCATCTTCTTAGGACTGTGTACAGTGGCGTTTTCCAGAAGCCACATGGCATGTGATATAGTAACAGATTGAAACAGAAGCAGATATAAGAATCTAGCCATCTTTTATTAAGCCAGACATTAAAGAAATTTGCAAATTACTTTTTTGTCTTGGAAAATAAATTTTTCACACAAAAATATATTAACCTATATGGGTTTGTTATTGATATTCTTAAATGAATTAATAAATATTTTTAAAACATGTTTTAATTTCTAACACAGTAAATATCTATACATGTAACCCACACAAAGAGAAACACTTTGGCATTCTCAAAAATTTCTAAGAGTATTAAAGGGTCCTGAGACCAAAAAGTTGTAGAACCACTGGTCTAGAGGAAGATTTCCACAAAAGGATGTTGTTGTTGTCACTAGTCCCAGAAAATAATCCATAAAAAATGTTGTTCCGTGATCAAATGCGTTTGGAAAATGTTATGCCTCTCTTGAAAATCATCAAATTAGAAGCAAATAAACCTAATTAACTTTAAACTCTATGTTTCCTAAATGTATTTGATTAATATCTCCTCTTTTGAGTGCCTTCATTATCACCCTGGAGGCACACCTGGGAACCATGTGGATGAACTGTAAGGCCCTCAGCCAGTCCTCATGAGCAGCATCTCTTACGACCTGACTGTGTCAAGTGTGGACAGCATAGACTCTGACATTACGCGTCTGACAACATGAAGAGTGATCCTTTTATGAACACCAAGGCAGCTGAGCAGGACAGAGAGCCCCTTTATCTTTGCAAAGAGGTGGACCAAGGGCAGGGTCAAGGCCAGGACAGAGGTCTCACTCAGGAGACTAAACTCAATCTGTTCCATCCAACAAACAGGCAGTTGAGGCCCCTAAGTTCTCTATGACACTCAAACACAGCCACTTAGCCTGGATATCTTCCAAAGCAGATGGTACATGCGCTTGCCTCAGTCATAAAGAAATCTCAACTAAACACCACAGAATGCTTGACTTTAAGGGACACAACTACCTGGTGCCCCCTCCAAAGAAAATAGTGGTCAAATGTACCCTGAATTTGTCAACTCCTTTTATTGGGTTATTAACTCTAAGTCAATTAAATGTTGACTTTGGTTTTGGAACTATCAATCTTATTTCTTTTTGACAGTAATTACATAATTGTGCCAGCTGACAATAATAAAATTATGTCATCAGGCAGCTCATCTAAAGTGAGCCTACAGTCATGTGCAAGGTACTCTGGGAGATCTAGAAATGAAAAAGATGAGTCTCTTCAAAAGCATATAATCTAGTAAAGGGCCAGACAAAGCACTAGCGAAAGAAGTAAGTATTCTCATGCTCATCTTTCAGCACCTGGTGAGGTACCTGGTAGAGAATCACATTCAATCAATATTTGTCTCAACAAATTTGTTATTTACCTTTAAAATTTTTACTTGAATACAAACTGAAAAACAGCACACAGTCAAATATCTAGTCAAATATAATCAGGTCAAATAATACTTCTTAGTATAATTTCATGAATTTATAAAAAAGGATTTACAAAAAACCTTACACCATTGTGAGGTAAAAATAAATCTTTTTAATTTACACATTTTCACTTCTGTTAATTCAACATTGATTTCTACTATGCATGCAGACCCATTTCATTTGACTCGCTTCATATTTACTTTCCAACATGCAGCAACAACGAGATAGTTAGGCTGAACTGTTTAGTCTTAAAGAGTACAATGTACCTTGTCCTCAAGGGGTTTTATCAACTTGAACATTTTCAAAGAGCCCTGTGAGGCAGCTCAGCATGGTGGTTTTTCACTGAAATTTCCTAGTTGGAAGATGGCAAAACAGACTAGGATCTTGCCAACTCTACTACTGGTCGCTTGTATTCATATCACAGCTTGGTTGGGAGTGGTAGAGACTGAATAACAAGTAGATCGCCTCCAAACACAGCTGGAAGAGAGAGCTTCATTTTTAGAAAGTAAAGTGAATCATGAAAACCTTCCTCATGGTGTGATTTGTTCCAGGGTTCTTTTGATATTTAAGAAGGGAAATATATTAATCCTATGCACAATACTCTTATTTGCAGTGTTATAGAGTTTTCTTCTCCAGCCATTGTTCTATAGCGAGGTGACTGATTGTATTTGCTGCAGAATTGAAAGTATGAAGATGTCTACTTCCATCATCAAAGTTGGGGATAACCTTCTCATTTCCTGCCGAATGGATCAGACCACACTTTTAACCCTATAGAAATAAACATGAATAAAAACAGGATTTGTTTGTAAACTTCCTACCACTTCCCTCAACCCCAAACAAACAAAATGACATCAGAATTGAGTTGGGCAATTTGCACGCAGTTTGAGATAGTGTGGTCAAGCTGCCAGAACCCTGGGATGGAATGGCTGGGAAGCCATGGGAGCCATGAAAGACTTTTAAATGGCTCAGAAATTACCCCACAACAGGAAGACATGTATCTGGCCTAGTTAATAAATAAATAAATAAATAAATAAATAAATAAGAATGTTGCCACAGATGACAAGAGTTTTGGTTAATAAGCTGGAAACCTCTCATTCTCAGCCAACTTGGATCATCTTAAAGTAACTAACCATTCAGCCATAAAGGGAACTTCTGAGCTTTTGTATAAAGCAGAATCCTGCATCAATTAAAATAGCTCACAAGTAAACAGTATTTTCCCATGGGGGTAGTGTTTAAACAGGTACTTGGTAAATAAGTCTGCAAAACAGCTATTCACACTTCATATTTAATTGCACACTTGTTAGTTTTTTATGCCCACTAATCAAATGCTAAAGAGGAACGTACAAACTTGCAAAAAGCATTCTGGAGTGAAATATTAAAATGAAGTCTTGGGGTGGCACCTGTCGTGAAATAAATAGCACAATCATAATCTAGCCTCTGGCTAAAAAGATTTCTCCCTCTGCAACGCAAATACACACCCCCCACACAACGCAATAGTACAAATGAGATTTTGTTTTGGTTTTTAAGTTTACCTGGTGGCTGCACATCTTCTTGAACAATACCAGCTCGATTTATGGCTTGTTCCTTCTCTGAGAAACACAACGGAAAAATTACTCTTTAGAAAGGAGGAAGGGGCAGTGGGGGTGGAAATCTTTGTATTTACATGGGACAACGAGAAAACAATATATATGAGTGCTATTAAGTTCAGAGCTTTACTCAAAGCTTTTAAGTTATGGAAGTTGGATCCTATGAGGCAAAAGGATTGGGTATTTTCAATAAAAGAAAGAAAGCCATACTTCAAAAGAAAAGCTCCCAACTAACATCTTTTCTCGGTGACCTCAGCATTTTGGAAAGGCAACAAAACAACAGAAAAAGAATAATTTTGAAAGAACCGGTGGGCGTGATATTATGAGGGGAAAGCTGCTGAAATGAAGGAACAAGTACAATTAACAAGAAAACGATGTAGTTTACATGTCTCATATGTACTCCATTGAAGGACCAGACCCAGAGCTAAATATGCTATGTTTTTGATAGGAAGTAGAGCAGAAAATTAATCTTTGGGTGGGTGGCTTTGCTTTGGATAATTGAAGCTTCCCTAATTGATTGCAGGTGCTGTGCCAATTAGTAAGCGCGTTTCAGCTACAGCAGCTTAGCTGATCTCTTTGGAGATGGCCAACAGGCAAGGGCCAAGAGAAATTGGGCATTTTATGTCTGTGGGCTTCAAGCACTCTGACACATCTTTCTAAGTGGTTTAGAATAAACCCAAGGTCTGTGAAAACAAAGACTTATCATTTTAAGTATCTTGACAAACCAATGGTAGCTTTTCAGGAGAAAGACTTGGAGCCAAAGGATGTTTACTACTAAATTATAGTAATTAAGTGTTGTAATCAGACCTTTGTTTTAATCAGGCTGACAGTGTTTCTTTAAATCTACCTTTAGCTCTTACTTAATATTAAGCCATTTTCTTTATTCTGGCCTCTGGATTCCCATAAAGTTACACAAGCATAAAGGTACAAGAAACAGGGTTTTGCCAAATCGAATATTCATTGAACTTGCTTCTCCAGTGATGTGACAGAAAGTCAATCCTAAGTGAGCTACCTGATAGCTTTATCAATGCTAAGTTTTGCTTTGGCAAATAAAACCCTGGGCAATAGGGATTATGTGAATCTTGATATCTGATTCTAAGAGACACAGAGAGAAGGCATAGCATAATGAAGCTCATTATAGACAACGGTGCGATGGTTTTACTGGGCCTCTCTGAAAAGTAGCAGGTGAACGGCAAGACCCTCTGGACCGAGATATGCCAAAAGACTTCTTCCATCTAGAGTGGATGATAATGGAGCCTGGAAGGTGTCAGACTTTCTAAAATAACTCAACACAAAAGGTGATCTCATTTCCTAAGACATTAAATTCTTGTCGGATTAAGCCCTACCACATCGTCAACATGTAAGTCTCAAAGTATGGATGTGTTTCAAACATGTTCTTAGAAAATGCCAACGAGTAAAAGAGTACACTGTCATCGATCGTGTCAGGGACAAAAATACATATAATTTTCTACACCAAAAACATCCACTCTCCAGTACTATGGAAGACGGAAGAGATGAGTTTTTAGGAAATAAGGGATTGCCAGCAAGCATTCTAGACCTACAGATTTAAGAAAATCAGACATCCTGGTGTACCGAACACATTCTCTAAGAGGCAGGTACTCCAAAGCCAAAAAGCTGGCAGACTGCCAAGCATCAAAGAAGTTGACTTTTGGTGGCAAGGACAGAATGCCTAATTGTATTCTAACCTCTTACAATGCAATGGAGAACCAAGGGAAGAGAAGGAATCCCTGTCTTCACACTTTCTGGCTAATTGCTACTGAGGTTGGAGAAAGGCTGAGGATTTATTTTAAATAGACATAATCTCTTTATAATCCTCGTCCTTATGCAACCACCTCTTTTTTTTGGCTTGGATAGGCAATTTAAACCGATTTGCTGAACCAGTTCCTAGGAAGTGATAACCGGTATTAGCATCCTATCTACATCCTCTGGTTCTTTAATCCATTAACGTTTTATAAATACTCTAAGGCCAAAGCAGTCTTATATAAATTCATGATATGACACAAAGACACTTTATTTGTGAATTCAGAATATGCTAAAGGAAAACAAACTGGTCCCTCAGGATTTAGCAAGTACATCTTGATGAGGCTGACACTAGGTTTCTATTTTGCCATCATTAGAGAAATAGTGAATTGCTATAAACCTCAGGAAAAGGGCAACACAGAAGTCAGGGGTTTAACTACGTGAACAAATCAGGATAAGCTAATTGCTGACTTTTCAGTATGAGCACGTTTCTATCAGGAGAGAAATGATTAAAATGTAAACCTGCAACACTGGGCCTGGAGCTTTGCAATGCCAGTTAGAAGAGTCCCCACTCCAGACTCGCAGCAAGCCCGACTCTGCCCCCTGGTGCTAAGGCAGTGGTCTGACTTGCAGTTTTAATTGAAGATCATTATCTCAGTCAAATGGCCAAGGTATATTGTTAAAACTGGGAATGCATGCAGACAGGCTGATTCTTGTACGGTAGATAAAGAATCCACATAATAATTAAGTATTTGAAAAGGAAAACATATCCTTACATTAAATGTCTGTACTGTGAACTAAATCTGTGTGACTTGTTACTTTAACATTCACAACAAATGAATAGAGTAACCCAAGCACCAGCCCCCTCAGCAGTCTTGTAACTGACTAGTGGAGGGTGCTCTAGTGGACTAGCACACAGAAACCCAAAAGCAGGTGCAGAACAGAGTTCTACCCAGTGCAAACACACCTCAGGACCCTACCCTCATCTCCTCTTGCCAACGAACAGTTAAAATAAAAGCAACTCACAGCCTAAATTGGACAAATGGCAACATTTGAATACGGACTGTATGTTCAATAACAGCATTGTATGAATATTAAATTTCCCGGACTGGATAACTGTATTGTGATTACATAAGGGAATGTCCTTATTCTTAGGAAATACACGCTGAAGTGTTTAGGAATGAAAGCTCACAATGTCTTCAACAAGTCTCAAATGGTTCAGCAAAACAACAGTCATAATTATATGCACATACAATTTTATATGTATATATGTGTGTCTATATATGTATGTATGTATAGATATGTAATATACACTATACATAGCGGGAGAAAGCAAATATGGCACAATGTTAGCAACTGGTAAATCTAGGTGAAAGATAAACAGGGATTTTATTTTACTATTCTTAGGTTTTTTCTGTTGGCTTGGTTTTTTTGTTTTGTTTTTTATAATTTTATTTATTTATTTTTCCCCCAAAGCCCCAGTAGATAGTTGTATGTCATAGTTGCACATCCTTCTAGTTGCTGTATGTGGGATGCGGCCTCAGCATGGCCGGAGAAGCGGTGTGTCGGTGCACGCCTGGGATCCGAACCCGGGCTGCCAGCAGCGGAGCACGCGCACTTAACCACTAAGCCACGGGGCCGGCCCCAGGTTTTTTGTTTTCTTAATTAACAAAAAGGCACAACTGCAAAACAAGTATACGGAAGTCTAACAACACTGTGACTTTTCCATGATGATTACTTCCAAGTATCTTTTTTAAAATAGCAGATATAAAACTTAAAAAATACTTTTCCAGTGCTCCCATTTGCTGCCATTGCCAAGACACATACATCACCTAGATGTGCACTGGGGTGATCAAGAACGAGATATGCACTCATGGCAAGTGTGAACCAGCGGCTGAGGGCGACCAAGTGGCCATGGTGGCGAGTGTGAACCAGCAGCTGAGGGGAACCAAATGGCCATGGGGGTGAGTGTGAACCAGCAGCTGAGGGGGACCAAGTGGCTATGGCGGCGAGTGTGAACCAGCGGCTGAGGGGGACCAAGTGGCCATGGTGGCGAGTGTGATCCAGCAGCTGAGGGGGACCAAATGGCCATGGTGGTGAGTGTGAACCAAAGGCTGAGGGCGACCAAATGGCCATGCTGGTGAGTGTGAACCAGTGGCTGAGGGGGACCAAGTGGCCATGGTGGCAAGTGTGAACCCACGGCTGAGGGCAACCAAAT